CCCCCTCACTGCCCCCCCAGCCCCGCCCCTTCACTCCCCCTACTCCTAGCCCCGCCCCCCACGTGCCCCCTCCATTCCCCCCCACGGCCCCCCCAGTGCCCCTCACTCCCGACCCGCAGCCCCCGCAGCTCTGCCGGGCCCCGCTCACCTCCTGTCCCAACTGCAGCCCCACGGGTACCTCCAGGCGCGTCCCAGCAGGGAGGCGCCTGATTGGCCAGCCGTGTCCCTCTCGCAAAGCTTTCTCTTGTCCTGATTGGTCACTGTGGGTGTCAGTCATTGGAGTGGGCGGGTCCTGCTGCCCTTGTTCCCGCCCCGCTGCTCCCTAGGGACCAGTCTTGCCTTTGGAGCACAGAGAGGAGGGGGATGTGCGTGTAGAGTGTCGCCGCAGAACCATAGAGCGGCACCGGGTTCCTGGCTAGATTGTTCGCTGCGAGTCCGCCACCGCATCCTTTTGGCGCCAAGGAAGACCATAGAGAGGCTAATGTTCGGGTAGACATTACCTTGGAGACCATAGAGCGATACCGTGCTCTAGGCTAGAGTGTGCACAACGGGTCCGCCAAAACATGGCGGCGCTGCCGCCCTCCCTACTACCGCCACCTGGGATCATAGAGAGGAAACGCGTTGCGTAGAAGTTACCACTGGTCACTGGAACCATCGAGCCGTAGCGGCTTGTACAGGCTGGGTCCTCCAAGGCATGGCGGCTGCGGTCCGCCAGAGTGGAGCATGGAGACGAAGCACTTTTGTCTGGACAATACCACGGGAACCATAGAGTGGAGGGCGTGTCCGTAACAGTAGCTAGAGTGTACATGCCAAGGTCCTCCCACACAGCGGGCCCCGCCCTCTTCTCATGTGACGTCATCTCTGACCATGGAAGCGAATACACTTGCGCAGAGAATACCAAGAAACCATAGACACTTGGTGTGGGAGGCTAGAGCGTACACACTAGTCCTCCAAAAGCTGTCCCCCGTTGGGCTTTGTCCCTCCTTGTTTGCACCCCGCCCCCCAGCCTGCCCCACGGGCGGGGGAACTCTCCTGTAGACAATACCTCCTACCATAGAGAGCAGGTGTGTACAGGCTAGAGTGTACCCTCGTGGGCCTCCAAAACATGGCTGCCTTCCCATATTTGTTATTAAAACTCTGATAGAAGGGGGGGGGTTAAAACATTTCTGACTTTCTGCCACCCCCTGGGGTTGGGGCGCTGCCGCCATGAACCCGTCATGTGCCTGCTTACCCGTGGCGCTGTGTCACTGCACGGGGCGTAACACCCAGGCAACACGCTGGCCATTGGGACCACCCTATGCGCCATGAGGATGCGCTATGGAGTTGGGGCCACCACACTGCATCCACACCTTTGGACAGGGTTGCTTGGCACCATGCGTCATCGCCATCTCGCTACGTTCAATGGTGCCCAGAGCTGCAGAGACGTCCTGGGCCCTGGTGGGATTTGCAGGGGATTGGAAGCTCACGCTGGCTCCCTTCAGCCCAGAAAACTGGAACAACTATAGAAATACCAGGGCAAGCATCAACAATGACGTGGCAAAGGTGGGTAACAGTGCCACGCAAGTGCAGATGTCATTGAGGCCACATGGCAGAGCCTGAGATATAGATAGATAGATATTTAGGGATGGATGTATGGATGGCTAAAGGAGGTGTATGGGGATGGATGGATAGAGGGGATATGGATGGATGGATGGACAGATAGAAGGTTTGTATATGGATGGATGGATGGCTAAAGGGGGTGTATGGGGATGATGGGTAGAGGGGATGCATGGGGTGGATGGATGGATGAACAGACAGAAAGTACATAAGAATGGCCATCATGGGTCAGACCAAAGGTCCATTTAGCCCAATATCCTGTCTCCGACAGTGGCCAATGCCAGGTGCCCCAGAGGGAATGGACAGAACAGGGAATCATCAACTGATCCATCCCCTGTCGCCCAATCCCAGCTTCTGGCAAACCGAGGCTAGGGACACCATCCCTGCCCATCCTGGCTAATAGCCATTGATGGACCTATCGTCCATTAATCTATCTAGTTATTTTTTGAATCCTGTTATAGTCTTGTCCTTCACAACATTCTCTGGCAAAGAGTTCCACAGGTTGACTGTGCGTTGTGTGAAGAATTACTTCCTTTTGCTTTATTTTAAACCAGTTGCCTATTCGTTTCATTTGGTGACCCCTAGTTCTTGTGCTATGAGGAGTAAATAACACTTCCTTATTTACTTTCTCTGCACCGGTCATGATTTTATAGACCTCTATCATATCCACCCTTAGTCGTCTCTTTTCCAAGCTGAAAAGTCCCAGTCTTATTAATCTCTCCTCATACGGAAGCTGTTCCCTAATCATTTTTGTTGCCCTTTTCTGAACCTTTTCCAATTCCAATATAGCTTTTTTGAGATGGGACGACCACATCTGCATGCAGTATTCAAGATGTGGGCGTACCATGGATTTCTATAAGTATGTATATGGATGGCTAAGGAGAGTGTATGGGGATGGATAGATGGACAGATAGAGGGTGTGTATAGGGTTTGATGAATTGATAGAGAGGGTGTATGGGGATGGGTGGAGGGATGGACAGAGAGGTGTGGGGATGGAGGGACAGATAGAGGGGGTGTATGGGGATTAATGAATGGATAGAGAGGGTGTATGGGGATGGGTGGAGGG